GTTTTCTTACCTGTGTTCTTCAAATTCCTCTGCTTCCTTTCCACCTCAAATACACCTGAAAAATTCTGTGCCATTTTAAAATTGCTATCTTACTCCTTTTCCCTCCTGACCGCCATGGAGCCGCAGACACTGGCTCGGGCGGTAGGGCAGCAGTGGTCAAGAACCTGGAGTACCAGAGATGAGGCGGTGGTGGCTCCAAGCCTGCTTCCCTGGGCTCTCTCCCCACCCGGGCAGTGTGGCCCGGGACCTGCTGAGGAGAGAGCGCTGGAGCGCTGGAAATCCATTTCCAGGCTGTTGAGAGAGGCCTAGATTAGAAGGGAGAGCAAGGAGAAAAGCTAGGAGACATGACAGGGGCAAAGCCATACATTTATATGTGCAAGATGGGTAAGGCAATGATCCTGAGAATCTTCAGCAGGTTTTTGAAACTAGCAGTTAATTGGTAGGATTCTCACCCTGACTAACTATACATGCTGATACCTGTGAACCAAGCAACTGCACTGAAGATAGCAATGCATATTACTAGATTAAGGTCAAGTTTCATCTTTCACAGTTAATTACTCAGTTCCGGTAAGTAACTAGCGTCTCTGAGGCCCCTTGAGAGGTCTCTCCCTCCAGGAGGGACTATTATGCAGACTGAAGGCAGGCTCCAAGCCCCGCTGACCCCAAGGAGCCATTGCAGAATCACATGGGGAGCGCTCAGGGCCTAGGGAAGTGGGTAGCCACCGAGTTGCAGGTTAATCGTGGCAAGAATTGTTGGTGAGGATGGAGGGAAGCCTTTTACTCCTGAAGAATATGAAGAATACAAAAGAAAAATTTTACCTATCTGCTCACAGAACAGGGTATTCATTAGCTGGCGGTCTCCTACACGAATGGATCACAAGCTTGTTGGCCCAGAAACAATGTGTTTTCATACATATAGGTATAAATAACATAAAACTGACTTCGAAATGATTCAACAGCAGCACTCCATTGCCCTGCCAGGCTGAGTGAGTGGCTACCCGTGAAGGGCTTACCATGACGTCCCTCTGAATGGGACCCAGTCAATTCGCTACAGGTGCAAACAGTTTGCAGACCACCATAGTGCTGCACCTGGTTTTGCATATAACACATCATGAGTGGGACCCCCCCCCCAGGGCCCTCCGGATCCTCACTCCAGCCAGCACCCAGGCCAGGCATGTGTGTAGAACTTCCTCCATCAAACAGGCCCAGTGTGGAACCCCGCAGCAGAACTCCCTACAGAGAAGCTACAGGCAAGACACACCCAGCTGATCCAGGAGCAGAACATCTTGCCAGAGTGGCACAACAAATTCACTTCCAAGGACTGCAGCAGGAAGAAGTGGAGCACAGCAGCCAGGCCCAAGTCACACCCACCTGCACAAGTTTGAACTTAGTAGATATGGAGCTGGTGCTAAACTGATAACTGCACTAAAGCTCTACACCAAAGGTTAGAAGACAGTGCTATACAAAATGAAAAAGAGAAGGAGCAAAATGCATTCTCAGGCCCCGAGCCCACCCAGAACAAATGCAGGAGACAATAGTATAGAAGAAATTAGAAATCACATACCTGAAATCTCTGACATAATAGCACCTGAAGTAAAGAAAAAATTGCAGAAAGGTATAGAGGAAACTAGATCAGAAATAATTTCTGAAAGAAAAAAATTATACTTATAACAAAAGAATTACTATGTGCTTCTAAAGAAGACACTGATAAAAAAATAGAGGAGAATAGAAAAATGATGGAATCTTTGAGCAATACAGGAAAGAAATAGAATGCATGAAGCAGATTCAAAGT